AATGCTGTGTGACCCAAGTGGAGGTCAATAGCAATAGAAGATGGACACATTTTCCTTGCAAGTTGACTACAAACATAATGAGGGGAAGAGAAGTGGATTAATTCACTCTAAGGCCTATAAATATCCTCAGATAAATATGCCACAAAAATCACTTGTAGAAATAATATCTAGAATTAACATCAAGAATTTCCCTCTGAGTAAAGTTAACCTAATCCAATTTAATGTAAAACATCACTTGCTCCATTACATCAAACCAAATAAGGAGAACATTTCAAACTGGATTTAAGGAAGCACTTCTTTACACAGCATGTAGTCAGAGTATGGAATAGTCTTCCTGATAACGTAGTGCAAGCTGAATCCTTGGGTTCCTTTAAATCAGAGCTAGATAAGATTTTAACAACTCTGAGCTATCAGTTAAGTTCTCCCCAAGCGAGCTCGATGGGCCGAATGGCCTCCTCTCATTTGTATAGTTCTTATTTAAGGGTAGTCTGAAATTTGTTGCACCTGCAGATGTACCCTTGAATGATATATCATTGATGAATACATCAGCTAAGCAGGGCCTTTTCTCAATTCACCCTCTGTCAACTCAAAATCCATATTAATATAGGTTCCCATTATTCATAGACTCTTGCTCTGTTATTAAGTTGGTTCTGTTGTTGTTATAGTGAGACTCTCTGGTTACAGTCAAGAAGGGTGTGAATTAGCACCTGTTTTGAACCAAGGCAGAAAGGCAGAAACAGGCTGACCCTGGTCTGCATGTTTCAGGCATGAATGCTGCTGTGAGGGCCACCGTCAGGGTCGGCATCTACACAGGAGCCAAAGTCTTTTTCATCCACGAGGTGAGTTCCATGTGGCTATACCTGAAGGCTCTTTGCATCCAGGTTGCCATGGCGACATCTGGCAAAACAATGAAGAATGTAGACACCAAAAGATTGTAAGTTCTGGTCATTTCTGACATCACAGACTGGGTGACATTGTCTCTTTGTAGGGTTACCAGGGGCTGGTGGATGGAGGAGACCATATCCGTCCTGCCACTTGGGAGAGTGTGTCCATGATGCTGCAGCTGGTGAGATTCCTTTCAAGCAATATTTTTGGGGAAACTTGTACCTGATCCTCCAGCACCTTTACATCCAATTCTTCTGATTAGAGAACCATTTGCAAACTCTAGCAATCAGTATTTGTTGACTTTAATTTGTGTTGAAGGAGAAGCAGGCATCTAGTTCCATCTGATTTAATGGAATATGCCAAAATTTTATTTGCGTTTGTATCACACGTGTTTAGTTTTTTTTAAGAGAACTAAGGAGAAAATCACTAGAATGCAGATTAATTTTGACTTAAATTTAGAGCATTATAGAATTTAAAACCGGGAATTAAGCATTAGTATTGGTACCAAGTCCTGGTTCTCTCTGTGGCACAGTAAACTATGTGCAACAGATGACTTGATTTGTAACCCACATCATAGACCTCGGAAGCATGTATGTCATTCAAACATACTAAAATTCTATCACACTGTCTATAGCGAACCCCCCCCCCCAGCCTAAAATTCCCCTGTGGGTAGTGTAGCATATAACTGCTTATCCCACTCCCCACTTGCATCACTCAGTCAATCTGAGCCTCACTGTGACCTTCTAACTGATTCCTCACATGCTTACTTCATCCTTCGACCCATTGACATTTAACTTATAAGAGCAGTATAACCTTGTACTTCAGCATACACGTCTACACTCAGATAAACTGATTGGGAAACTATAAATGTTTCCTTTGCTGTAATCAGATCTGCACCGAAGGTAGGGAGGAGCATGAGAGCATGGCATGGGTGGTCAGGTCAAGACAGCAGGGAAAATGTCCGGTGATAACTTCAGCAGAGTATGTCTAGAGGCTTCTCTGTTTCAAACATATCTGCTTGCTGCTCCTGCTGGGTGATGGTCTCTGCATCACTGTAATTGTTACTCTTTCCGTGATTTAGGGGGGCACCGTCATCGGCAGTGCTCGCTGTCAGGAATTTCGCACCAGAGAAGGTCGTACAAAGGCTGCTTATAACCTGGTGAAGCTGGGAATCACAAACCTGTGTGTGATCGGAGGCGATGGCAGCCTGACTGGAGCTAACCAGTTCCGCAGCGAATGGAGTGAGCTTCTAGCTGACCTTATCAAAGCCGGTAAGCTTCAGGGTTTTTAGTCCCCTTTATACCATTACCACCTCCCCCAGTACCCTTCAAACCATCATCACCTCCTCCAGTCCCTTTCATACCATCATCACCTCCCCCAGTACCCTTCAAACCATCATCACCTCCCCCAGTACCCTTCATACCATCATCACCTCCCCCAGTACCCTTCATACCATCATCACCTCCCCCAGTACCCTTCATACCATCATCACCTCCTCCAGTACCCTTCATACCATCATCACCTCCTCCAGTCCACTTCATACCATCATCACCTCCTCCAGT